GGAGTGAGGTGTGGAGGGGGGAGGGAAACACCTAAAAGCAGCAGCAACATTTTCCCAGGCTGGCCGTCCCAGTCACTATTTTTTCCAATAAATAAATATTTCCTTCTGCAGTCTACAGAATCACAGCTAAGGCGTACGATTATAAAAAGCAAAGCTGACTGAGCCGAGCCAAGCACGCTGTCTAGATTACACAAGTGGAGTTCAACGCGGAAAGTAAGTAAAGAGCAAAGTGAGAGAATTTACACTGGTTTCTGAAATGCTTTTGGTTTGATCTCCGCGACACGTTAGCCTCTCTCTCCGAGGCTAAGAATATGGGGAATATATAGAGTCGTGCTATTAATACACATAAAATACGTGAGCATGCAAGAAAGCAAAAATATATTTATGCTGGCAGGTCGAGCAAGGTGTTGCTTGTGCACTGATTTCTGCCACCTTGCCCGCGCACAACTTGAAATACTTTTCGGTGCCGTGATCAAATCCTGCTGCTTTACAAGAGCCCTGAGGTCGTTCAGCGCCCAGAACGGAGTTCACCCAGTACGCGGGACAGCCACGGGCAGGACTCCCACTGGGTCCGCGCAGCGCCAGACGACTGTTTGCTGCCAGTGTCGCTGTTCTGAAAGCCTCCGGCAAGAAGTAAGGAATCCAAGAAGGAAGCAGAGAAGCGTCCCGAGCACGAGGGGCACTTCTTCACCGGATGATCCTTTTTTTCCCCGGGGGGAAAACCTGCCCCAGCCCAACCCAGCATCTGCAGGATAGCGTAGCTGCCGCGCAGGCGACGGAGATGCTCCCTGCCCGTACGGCAGCTCGAACGAGCTCGCGCCGCCTTTGGTTTTCCACGGCTCGTAACTTGTACCGATTTTTAGGGAGGCAGAGAAAAGCATCCCCTGGGCTCCGCGCCAACGCCAGTGCCAGATCCCAAGTTCCCACTCCAAAGAGCCCGACCCGAACTTCGCAAAGACGCCGCTAGCCCACGATTTTAGCACGGGCACGTTTCCCCTTAGCCTCGCTCTCGGAAAGCGCTGAAATCGGTTCTCGGGAACGGACAAAGCAGCACGGAAAAGTTCAGCCCGAACGCATAACGCTCAGCGAAGTTAGAAGCAGGCGAAAACAGCGTCTCGTAACGCGAAGCGTTGGGAAACGTTAATAAAAAGCAGAGCTACCAGCCCCACCTATAATATAATTTAAACCTATATATGTAATGTTTAACCTAGCAGGATCACTTTTCCTAATAAACACGCAGCGTGCCAGGACTGTACAATGTAAATACAGGCAGAGCTTTTCCAGGCTATTACCAGTCGCTGTCAGCAGACCGGGAGAAACTCGATGCTTCGGTGCACACCTCGACCACAGCGGCAGCCCACGGGCTATAGAGTAAGAGAGGTTTTATGGGCTTTATTCTTTTTCTTCCAAAACCACTAACTTTCAGGTCATCCAGAGAGGCACAGGGAGAAGCTCCCAGGTAAGGGGCAGCCCCGGGGCCAGACGCTGGGTACGTGCCGTCGCTCCCGCTGGCACCTAAAATCGCGCTGCGTGCGTGTGAATGCCCTTAATGCAATTGCGTCGGGAGAGCGAGTAGGGCTCTGCGAGCTGCCGCAGCACAAATAATATGAACAAATAATGTTAACCTTTTCGGGCTGGAGCAGTTTCTCCTTGAACACTCTGGGGATGCCTCGGTGCAAAAGCGGAAACATGTGCAGTTTTCTTTAGACCTTTAGCAGTGCAAAACAGCAGACCAGAACCTGAGCAGCCTTTGCTTAAGAAAAAATTGATGAGCTCTTAAACAAAGTCCCACTTCCTGCAATTAGATGTCCATCACAGCCAAGACTGATGCAGGGTCCTTGCTGCAGGACGTAGGGAACCCTCTATACTTCTTCCAGTAAATTCGCTCCTATGCAGCGCCAGGAGTGCAGGAATAACGCATGGGAAGGATTAATCCACGAATCGTGGGGGGAGCCTGGGCCCCCTGGCACCCTGCTCCCCTGTGCTCAGGTTTGCACCTCCCTGGGGAGCCGCCGCTCGCTGCAGTGGGTGACAGCCCGATGCTTTCAGGAAGCGGGAGACTCCCCGTGGAGAGGGAAACACGTTAACGCAAGTGGCCGCGCTCAGGAAATCCCGGCAGAAATCTGTTTCGACATCCCAACCGCTCCACTTCGTTTCGATATACTATACCCGCACATTATAGTACTACTGAACAACAAACTAAACCCAAACAGATGTGTGCCGTTCAAAGTGTTTCTAAATGCATTAAAAAAAAAAAAAGCAATGTTTTGAAACTTCCACTTGGTTCAGTACGTTAAAGGAGGAGAAAACCCTCCAGCCTTCAGTTCTGCATGGGGTGGTGGGAGCCTTCGCTTGGACCCTGCAAACACGCTGCGTGGGAACGACTTCCTTCCAGCAAGGGGATGGGACGCCCCCCGGGGACTGTGCCTTTCGGACAAGTCCTAATTTCCTTTGTGATCATTTGCTTGGCTTAAAGTCCTCCTACCCTTATGCTTTGTATTTAGAAGCTGCTGAGGATAAGGAAGGCATAAAGGAGTTGTGAAGTTTAAACATAAATTAGGTAATGGCCCATGCTAGACCAAAATGGGGTGTGATGCTGCGCAAGCAAACACCCTTTGCAATGGCACGCGTTTCCCCATTCGAGACCAGGTTTCCTTGCCTGTTTTTCCCAGACCAGGAACAGTAATAGAGAATGCAGCTGTGGTTATGGGACCAGTCATCGGCCCTTTTAAGCTCAGCACCCTGTGGCGCTGGGGCTTGAGTCAAACCATGGGTGGCATCAACCATCTCTAACAGTGCCAGGTGCTGATTCCCACTTTGGGATGTGGCATGAAGAAGTCCAAGGCGCAGGGCTCAGGGGGTCCAGCAAGCTGCAGGAGCAGACCCTCGCTGGCCAAAATGAAATGAGAACTGCCTCGGCAGTTCAAAAACAACTTGAAAACCGCCCTCCGAGGAGGAGCAGCTCAACATGCCGTGGTTTTGTGAGATCCCCCTCAACCGCTGCGAAGACAAACGCATGCAAACGCAAGCTTGGCAGGGGCTGCCACGGCCTCTTGAGCTGCTGCTGTTAGAGATACTTTGAGAGCTGGTTGCAGGTAGCCAGAGACTTGGCAAGGTGGAGGCAGCCTTGGTAGCATCGCTGTACAGAGCTTCCCACCCCCCAGATGCTGGTTTAACCTGACTGTGGTTTATCAAAGCCTGGAGTAAGAGTCAGGATACCCAAATTCTCACTCAAAACCCTCCTACTAGCTTTTGCAGTGACTGTGAGTCAATACTAACATCTCTCCATGCCTCACTTTCCCCTAATAAAGCTAACAACACTGACCTCACTTGTAAAAGACTTTGGGTGCCCTCTGGAAGGACTAAGCTCTACCATTCCCATTAAGGGAAAGGTGTCGCTGACCTGCCAAGTCACACCACTCCCTGCTCTGCAATTATCACTGGCAGCATCGCATCCAGGATCAGCAATGGGGGCTCAGGGGAGACCTGGCCAAGCCCCAGCCATGGCCTGGCCTCCAGTCCAGGATGGAGATATATCCAAAAGGGTGAACCCACACTGCTCCTCCTGTTACATGTCCCAAAGGAGGAGCACGTGTGTCTGGAGGTGATGACTGCACACTGACACCGGTATGGGACACCGAGAGCCAGAACCAAATACCTACAGTCAGGAGTTAGCACTGGGCACTGGCCTTTGGCCTGCAAATACCAGGGTGAGCCAGATCACTTTGAGTACACCTGGCCAAGGCACGATGCTCCACGCATTATAATATGGTGTCTGCTGCGCTAATGGAGCGGAGCACGGAAATTTATTTTCAGGTCAAATCCTCATCATCTGCATAAATCCCACTTGAATATTATCGCAGGGATGGGAGAAGAAAAGACAGGCTGAATACAGGAGCACCCCAGGTGTCTGGCCATTGCTGGGAGCTCGGCGTTGCCTACTGCGCACATTATTTTCTTCTGGTTCGCTCGCCCCAGCCTAATAGGGCTCTCCGTCGCATATGCAGCCAGAAGCTAAAATACCATGCTCTTCTCAGAAAGCTTTATTATTGTGGTAAAGATTATACTCATTAGATATTAATTATACCCAGCAAGAGCAAGTCCAGGAATCTATCTGTCTCTGAGCACTGATTAAACTTGCCCAGCTTTCTAGGGAAGGGTTGCACGCCTTATGTCTGTGTAGCCCTCTGAGAGCCTACTCCCATTTATTAGCATGGAGGGCTCTGCTGGGCTGCAGAGAGGTGGTGAGACTGGGAATTGGCACAGAAGGTGGATTTGAGCTTGCTGTCTCTGGTCAGGCCTGTCTTGGAGCAACCTACCTGGCTTAAGACTGGTTTGACCTCACTTGAAATACCTAAAAATAAGTTGCTTAATCTAAGTCACACAGGCTGTCTTTGCAGTGATGGACAGGCACCCCTTATTCATCTACCTTAGTGTTGGCCAAATGCCTCCGAAGGTGCCTTTCTCTTCCCACCGACTACAGAGGGAGCCTGGGTGCCAGACTCTCGGACGGCTGACGTTAGGGGAGCTGAATCCCACCCTTGCAGACAAATGCGTAGCAGTTAGGACCACTCTGGCCTCAGAAAGCACAAATGCTGTCATGCTTAAACATATGTAACTTGGTTGCGGTCTATACTGATGCCAAAACGATGTGCAAAACCAAATTACATCCCACAGCTAAATGTCCCTCCTAACTCAGAGCATCTCCCAGCACAGTAGAGACGAAGCTTCTTTGGCTCTTTCACCAAAAACAGCCATCTGTTTTCCACTGGTCCTAGGCACAAACAGGTCTTTCTGCTCCACCTGTGGTAAACTACAGCGAGGCTGAAAATATTCTATTATTTATTTTAGCTTTTGTCCAGTGAGTGGCTATGAGGCATCATGCACAACCCACCCAAATACATGGGCTTGTTCTCTTTCTTTTTTCTCTCTCTCTTTTCTCTCTTTCTCCTTCCCTCCCTCCTTTTTTTCAAACAGCTAGACCGTGTTCTTTTTGCTACTCTCTTTAGGGCAAAAGAGATATAGTTTAGGTGCCTGTGTCTCCATAGCCCTGCTTTACTGTTGGTATGGAAGTAACTGTGCTAGAACACAGCCAGAGAAAACCCTCGAGAAGTGGACAGTGATTGCAAATGACCCTTGCAGACCCAGCGGAGAAGTCACCGCAACTTCTGATGGGGGTCACTGCTCCCTCATCCAGAAAGAAGTGCCCCTACAATGGAAATTACTGCCTCTGCAGGTGGAAACCTCTGCCCTTCACTGACAATTAACCCTCCAGCTGCAGTTGCCACGTCCGTCAAAGGAGAACAAAAGCGATGCCTTGGGACCACCTGATGCCACCGTAAAGATTTTCTCCTCTGCTACCTGCCATGTGCCCCAGGGGCAGGCTGCTGTCTCCCTTCGTGGCACCCTAGCCAGCCACCTGGTACAGCTACAGGAATCAGCCATGGGTGTGAGACTCTGACCCCTCCAGCCACCCCCGTCATCCCCTGCCACCCCACCAAGCATGGCAGAGATAACCAACACCCACCTGGTAAAGCGGACTTCACAAATATTGCACATATACGGCTTCTCTCCTGTGTGGGTCCTCATGTGCCGGGGTAGCTTTCCGGCCCCCATGATGACTTTGTTACAGATGGGACACTGCTGAGATGCCTTGGGCTTTATCTTCCTCTCTTCCTCCAAGGGCCATGGAGGAAAAACTCCTCCAAACTGGGTTGCACTTAGGAAATTGAGATAAGCACTATAGTCAGTCTCTGCTTTAATATGCCCTAAGGGAGGTGCTGGGGTGTTAGTAAATATGTCCTTGAAGAAGTCATTAGGGAAAGGAGGTGGAGGCAAGTCTTCCTTCTCCTCCTCTTCCTTGATCTTCCTCTTTTTGATCACCAGATCCAAAGGGCCATTGTCCACTTGTGGCTCGTCGAGCTGGGAAAAGGAACTAAAATCACCGTTCCACAGGTGGGGAAAGAAGCTAGGGGTGAAAGGAGAGAGAGCTGGCCTCCTTTCCGGGATGTTTGCCTTAGGGTACAAGTTCTCCCTCAGCAAGGACTCAATGGAGAAGTCTCGTATCACACCCAAGTGTCCAGAGGAGTTATTGGCTGGATAGTGATTTGGAAAGTCTTTAGGTGCTTCTGTGTATGCTTCTTCGGTAAGATCAGACTTAGAAGGGCTTTGGTGACAGCTTACTTCTTGGACATCAGTTAGATTCTCCTGACTGACAAAATCCTCCACTTCTTCCTCCTCCTCCTCCTCCTCCTCATCTTCATCTTCATCTTCATCATCATCTTCATCCTCTTTGTCATCTTCCTCTTCTGCCTCTCTGTCAGGCTCCATGATTTCAAGGCATACGTTGATAATGCACTGAATCTCCAGCATCTTGGCAGCGCTGAGGATGTGCTTGACATTTGAGGTGGTAATGGTGAGGGTTGAGGTGTAGGCAAACTCGAGGATGGCAGAAAGTGCTTCAGGCTTGACAAAGTCAATCTCGTAAACATAGGGCTGGTCTGTTAAAGTGCCGGTAGTGAAGAGTTTTTTGAAGTACTTGCTGCAGGCAGCAAGAACGGACCGATGAGTCCGGTACTCCTGGTCCTGTACAATGAGGATGACATCGCAGAGGAGACCGTCATGTCGCTGCTCATTTAAACCACATAAGACTTCACTGCTGTGGTTCGGGAATGGGATCCCAATAAGATCTTCAATGCCATTGGCCATATTCTCATTTAGTGTCCTAGGACAAAACAGACAGTAGGGCATTAGCAGGGGGGTTCCCGATCGGTAACATCAAAATGACCCTGCCTTCTCCCACAGTATTCTTCTCTCCACTGCACCACTTCCATCTCCATAATCGCTCTCTGTTTCCACTGCCCTAACGCGTTATATCTCCGTGTCACCTTTACCTCCCTTCTGCGTCCTCCGCGATTTAACCTCTGCTTTCCTCTATGACCCTTCAAGTCTCCTTCTTTGTCTCCGCCCTTCTCTCCTCTGTTCTCAGCCTGTCCCTTGTCAGTACCACCAGATACTCCCTCTTCTCTTTCACATCTCACCCCCAGGAATCTTGTGCTACGATCTCCTCCTCATGATGCCTCTTCCACATCCTCCTAGAGCCAACACCATGTAGGTGCATGTAGAACTTGCCATGTTGGGAGCAATCTGGGGAAAGGGTGATGTTGCATTGCTTCACATTGCTTAGTTCCAGCACTTACACCACTTAAGCAAGACTAGCCAGGGAGTGTCCTTTGAGCTACGCAATTGTTTTCATGACTGATACAACTGGACTTCCCAAGCTAGGAGGGACATAGCTATTTGCTGCAGCAGGAGCGTGGCCCTTATGGGCCAGCAGGTGCAGTTCTGCATCCCCTGCTCTACTCATGCCTGGCAGCTACCCCATGTGGACACCCATACAACGACGTCTTGCTGAGGGGTCTGGGAACAGGGGAGGCAAACTGGGCAGACAAAGAGAGAAAGACAACCAAGCACCCAACCGCCGAGCAAGGGCCTGGCCAGAGGCAGATAGGTACATGTCAACTCCACCCATGAGCTGAGCTTGCTCTGGTCCCGATTCTGTTCAGGCATGTTAGCATGTTATCAAATGCCCCATGTGCCTGGTAGAAACCTTTCCAGAGCAGCTCCAGCTTCAAAGCAGAATTAGGAAGCAAAAAGCCCACACCCAAAAGGAAAACCTAATTTTTGCCGTTTTTTAATCTGTAAGATTTTTCCGCTTTCAAACGGCTCCAACAGCCCTTCCAACATGAGAAATCCCAGGAAAGGAGAGTGACTTCCTTCAGCAGGCTAGGAATACATTAATCCTGTCACATGCAGACTATATCAAACAGCTCGAATAACTTTGACTGCACGAACCCTTTGGAAGCCCCCAGGACACAGAGGATGCACTAATGCCGTTTCACCTCCAAGAGCCCCGGCTGCAGAGCTGCTGCAGGTAGCAGCTCAGTTCACAGCTGAGTGGTAATTCTCCAAAAAAGCCAGGCTATGCCTAAGTAAAATTTCAGCCCTGCTCTTAGCCCTTTCTCAGGGCTGAATGCCGTCATGCACCAATGTGCAGCTTGCCATCCCACCCTATATCTGCATCTCTCCTGGGATCCATCCCCCCAGCTGGGGAGCTGCTGGGCACTGGGATCTCCAGCAAGCGTTCCCGTGAGAAGGGGAATGCAATTGCCTTCTCCTGCCTCCACAGGGTCAATAAGCAGCCGATACCTTGCTGGTATCTCCCCCGCACCTAATCACTGCTGCTGAGCGGTTACTGCGTGGGAGCAGGCGGGCGAAGGCCTTGGGAAAACGGCGTGACGGGAGCAGAGCACAGAGCAGCTGCCCGAGGGGCACCTCCAGGCCTGGGAGGCTGCTCAGTGCCAAAGCCCAAATTGCAACGAACAAATCCTCCGGGCTCGCTCAGAGAGTAAGGACAAGGTCCGGTGGGATGAGTACTGGCCAGGTGAGTGCAACGCTGCGGCTAGAGGGCTGAGCGCTCCTCGCTGCTGTCCTTCTCCTAGGGAGACCTCGCTGCCATCAGGGCACTGCAGGAAGCCCCATCTCAGCCTGCGATGCTTTGGGCCAGCCGCAGCCCAAAGAATTGAGGATTTATGGCATGTGACAGGACTAAGCATGGCTCCCATCACACCTGCTCCACACCTGGAGAAGCTAAGGGGAGACAAGGGGAAGGATCCTACAGCGTATTTTCACAGGACAAAACCCAGGCGAGGTATCTTCTGCTTTCCGGAGCTGCTGCAGCTAATCCCAGAGGGGAGAACCCAAGCTGACCTCCTACATCCCACCAGCTCATGCACTGCTGCACAGCTTCTCCCCGAGATACCAGAAAGCTTTAGACAGGGCTTGGCCAACCTCCAGCTGAAGACCACAGTGTGGGTTGATGTGCAGAGACAGAGCGGGACCATTTGTGCCGCTGGGTGTGTGCACTTGTGATACTGTTCCCGACTACCTAGCCCAAAAGCGAAAATGCTGCTAACACCCCTCCGAGTCCCTCTTTTAGCTCTCGTCACTGATGCCTGTGTTTTCAGCTCAGGAACAAAGATCCCAGCCCTGCATCCCCTGGTGTGCACATTATCTGCAAAGTAATTACGCCTGTTGTCTGAAACAAATTGATTCATTACAGTGTGCTGTGCTTAACCATGTTAACTAGCTGTGCTTTTCTAACAACCCAACTGGCTCCATAAAAAATCTTCCTTTAATATCACTGATAAATGACAGTAAATCCAATGCATTATCCAAGTAGAGTGGAAGATAATAAACCAGTCCCCAAGCAGGGGAGGAAGAGACAACTTCATTTTTTGGGCTTTGTATCCTAATAATAAGTATATGCAATTAAATTTCCATTGCTGCATTTATTTTTTGCTCTTTTATAATTTTTGTTTTGAAAGAACATTAATGTTCAAGAAACGCTATATTCATAGGAATTTCAACCTGTTTTTGCTGGATCAGCATAAGTGCAAAAGATCAGAAAAGCAGAATATCAGATCGCTCTGAATTCCTCAGGTCTCGTTACAGAGTGTTTCATTATTTCTCCTGGACACTCAGCTCAGGTCTCCCTGATTTGTGGACCGTTCATACAGCAGCCGCAAGAGAGAAAGAAAAATGGAATTAGGAGAGAGGGGGGTATGTGATTATAAACCCCCCAATTTAGCGGGAAACGGAAAGGACAGCTGTTGTGCCTAAAATGATATACAGCTCCCTTCTGTGGAAATGGACTCATTTTCTTTTATCTTCCCATTCTGGTTCTCCTGAGATGTGCTTCTGTTAACCGAAGCACTTAGGGAAGCTGATAACTTTGCAGGATGGTGGCAAAACTGAAGGTGATTCATGTAATTTAAATGTGGTGGGGGGGGAAAAAAAAAAACACAAGAGAGAAACAACCGAGGCAATCCATTTGCATAGGTTTGCAGAAAGGGCATTTTTTACTCGCAGGGCGGTTTGACAGCTCCGACGCTCCGTGCTGCCGCATAGGGCACCAAGCCTGAGAAATGACCTTACGATTCCCATGCCCCGGGGAGCCTGGGGAGGGATGGCCACGGGCTGGAAGTGTGCTGAGGCTGACGTTTTCCTTCCTCCACCTCCCCTCCTTTCCCTCCTCCCGCGCTGTCTCCCCCCACCTGCCCCCGCCAACCCCAGGGTGGGGTTCACAAGAATAACCGGCACAAAAAATAGCAGCCGCAACCTCAGTCCTTCTGCCAGATGACGAATGTCACCCCCGTGAAGAAAGCAGAGCACGCACGCGCGCAGATGCGAGCACGGTACAACTGCCTGCATGCAGTTAAACAGAAATCCCCCCTTTATAATAGGAAATGACAGCACTATTAAAATAAACAGGCGGGGGAAAACATGCGGGGGGGGGGGAAGGCGGAGGGCACCTAAAATAACCACATTCTGACTCGGCTGCAAATGGCATCTCAAAAGACAGCATTTAGGAAAGTGCTTAATACCCGTCCATTACTTTCTTGCATCAGAAGACCCGCTTCGAAAAGCGGGGCTCCCTCCACAAGAAGAAGGTGCCAAGGCCAAGGAGCACGCAGCATCCCTGCCCGCGGGCCCCGCGGGCCGAGGAGCTGCACGGGGGCATCTCTGAGCTTGGATTTCAGAGGAAGCCCAAGCAGGGGCCAGCTGAGCCACCGCCAAAATTGCTGCCCCGCTACCCCCAAATTGCCTCCTATCGCTTCGAGCCCCAAATTTATTAACTTGCAGTGCCCACAGCCTGGACGATGCAAAGCACATCCCAGAGGCAGCCAGCTCCTGCGCCCTGGTAGCGCCGATGCACAACCCCGGCAGCAAGTCCCCCAGCCCATGCCAGCACGCCAGGGCTGGTGGCAAGGCCAGCTCGTCTCTGAGCTTTCCGCCTGCAGCACCCGAGCCAAGCCTGGCCTGGGAACCCGTCCCACCCACCGCCGAGCAACGACTGTCCAACCGCGGCCAAAGCCAGCCCTCGACTCCAGCGATCCCAGCAGGGCACTCTGCAGCTCTAAAGCTGCTTCTATTTTTAATTCGCTGGTTGCTTTATCCCCACTTCTCCTTTTAACTTCACGTCCTCTTCAGTAAGGCCTCTGAAAACCGATAATGATACCAGCATAAAACAGAAAAAACCAAAGAGAGGGAGAAAAGACATGCTCATTTAGCATTCTGATAAGTAAAAAAATAGAAGTATACAAACTACAACGGATTAAAATACATACAGTCAGCTAATATTGCGTATATCTATATATCACGAGGGGAACCAGAAGATTGCCATAGCTCTAATATTCACCAGCTCCTTTGGCTCTCAGAGGAGCCTGGGAAAGATGTGCCAGTCCCAAAGGTGAGCCAGGGCCCTGCACGTTTCCACCCAGATGGCACCAAATATGGGATCAGCAGACCTGTGACCCGTCTTCTTCCAGGACAGACATCTCCAGCTGAAGGACGCAGGTCCGTTATGGAAGAATAAATCCCCCACTGTTGAACCAGGCTGCTGGGCGCTGCTGCTCTTCGCTACAGAGGGGAGATGACACGTGTGCCCACCCTCACCTTTAAGCTGAAGGAGAAGGGACCAGACGGTACCTGCTGGCGGGAGGAGAGATGCGGCCACTCCAGCAGCAAGGATGCTGTGACCTGGAGCACCGCTTGCATTTCCCAGCACGGGTCACCTATCCCTAATGCTGTTCCTGTAAATCTGCGGTGCTTAAAACCGCTCACACCCTGACTCTTAGCTGGGAGCTGGCAATTCTGGGCTTT